TAAATAAAAAAAAAAAAAAAAAAAAATTAGAATATATAAATATATACAAGTAAAGCGACTTAAGTACGTAAACGTATCATGCACTAAGTATAGCCGTGTTTTGTGGGCGGGAGTGGCGAGGGGAACATAATACACGAGGCATATACGGCGGCAGCGGCGTCGGCTCTAGGAATATATAAATGAATATTAATATATGAATATATATATATTAATATTAGCGGTGGCGGTAGGAATATAAGATCATCGCATAATATCGCGGCACTTTCGCTGGCGTCGACGACACGATGTGCGGCGTGATCTTCGGGCGTCAAAAGGTTAGCAGCGTAGATGACGACGGTGCGCGAGTGCGGATCGGTTTGTTGACATTGTCACTTTAACAACGAGAAGAAGACTACGGTATCATTAGCAGCGGGACATCGTGCAGCACTAGCTGGACTTTGCACCGCAGCGTAAAACGCGCGGTGTTGGTCAGTCAAATACTCATAAAATAGGGCGACGGCTGATAAAGGTGGCACGAGTCGTGGGACATCGTGTATAATGAAACGACGCGAGGCCGTGTCAATCACAATAAAAATTTGTTATATATATAAGTATAACTGATGACACGCGCGCGTCTACGGGTTGGAAAATATTGTTGTCATATCTCAGGAATGTCATTGGGCGGGTCTGATGAAAATTTCAAACCTTAAGTCGTAAAACGCTGGCGTCAGCGAGCGTTTTTCTCAAAAACGGTCGAAATTTTAAAACGCTCGCGGGCGAGCTGCAAAAATTTTCCGACCTTCGCCAATAATTTTACATATAAATTAAATGGAGTCGACATTATGTCGTTATTGTTCCTAATCTATGCTTACCCCACAAAAACAACAAACGAATTACGTTTATCACATCAGTTATCAGTCAATGTATAAAAGTATTTAACGATTATAATTTTTCATCTTATAATTTATAAAAATTTTAAAGAATTAACATGTTACCGATTAAAACAGCTATTATCTACGTGTACCTATAATCTTAAAAATAGGTATATTCTTTATTCAAATTTACTAAATTAAAAGTTTGCCTCACCACTTCCAAAACCCACGAGCCGCCACTGCCATATACAACATAAAACAAAAATCGTGNCAAAACCCACGAGCCGCCACTGCCATATACAACATAAAACAAAAATCGTGTTTACCTAAAATAATATTATCCCACTTATATTTGGATGGTTGTATTTAAAACGTTCTCTACATATATAGTGATCGGTAAGTAAGGAAACGAGTATCTATTGTTCTCATTGTTTGTAACAAATTCCTTGCTTACTAAACATTCTATATGTAGCTTTAATAAAAACAGTATTTATAATAGTATCAGTATTTTATATATGTATACTTTGCATATTAACGATTGTAATACCGCTAAACTCTGCAGCTGTAATATATTATTATATGTTATTAAATGACTACAAATTTTTTTTAAAATTACGATTTTTCACCACATCTATTGAATATACGTCTGAATATATATTATATACCAAAACAATTTAAACTGAAAAAGATAATGTTTTTACTATCCGCTCATACTTGCAAGTGAAGTGTCACGTGTGATTTAAAGA